GTTTGTTTTAATAGTAATTGTTGTTAACACACAATGGGATACACGATGTAATAAATTATAACCAATACATTATAAACAACACGTTCATTCATTTCGCTGTAAAGAATTTGCGATATTCTGTAATATTAATGATAAATATGTGGTAAAAATACGGATCAAAAAATTCCTTGAATATTATTAATAATAATAGGTTATGAAATTTAGGCCAGAATTATGTTGGTTGTTTATTTCGCACATACCCGGATCATTTTGATGCGAGTTGCATCCCAGCCCACACAACTTAACATGTTATTGTTAACACATATGCAATAAAACTATCATCGTCAAAACAATAGTTACATAGATATATGCCATTTGTTTACTTGTTTGTTATACACGTTAAACGCCTTTAAGATTCTTGAAAAATAGGATTCTGTGTAAAAACAATACAAACTATATCTCTATTTATGGCATTTATAGCACAACATTATATCAATGGTATTCACGTATACACCAAACATACCATAAGTGTGTTGTTTGTCTCGTCGAGAGATACGTGATTTAATTATAAATTATAAAACCATCAAGTCCTTTTTTCACTGAATTACTTGAATTGTTTTTATTTACCACCATGAAAACAAATAAAACTATTATCTATTTTTATCTCAAGCATTTTTCCTGCTACTTCCGAATTCCTACTCTCAATAATATTACCCAAACAAACAAAAAGACTATTCAAAGAGATATAACAGTATTGTCACTAAGAAAGACAATTGCATACCATTGATGACAATGACAACAGGACTTGTGTTATCTATAGGATAGGTATTTATATCTATTAAATTCTTGGCATTTTTACCAAGAAGATTATCATTAATTAGTAGAATTAGCAAGGAACGTGGCATTTTACAATTTGCAATGAAATAATCATTGTCTTATCTCTTTACATGTTACAATTCGTATAAAATACATAATTAAACATGTGTATTTACACGTTGTGTATACACAGAGTGTTATCACCTAAACGAGTAAGCTAATTACGATAATAACTAAAGTTATGATGGATATTAATTGTGTCTAATTTATTTTGTCATTTCGCACATCATCATGATGCAATTCACGCTCACTATATTCAATATTGCAATCTTATTGATTTTATTTACTAAATAAATAGTTATTTATTTGATTAAAAACTTACGGAAACTGTTTGCAAACAAATATACAAATAGATTGTGTATTAAAAGTGTGAATATTTCACGCATTGATTGAAAACACAATAGGATTTCCCCTCAAAATAAATTGCAAATTATTATTATTATTATTGATTTCATTAGACATACAGTCTTTTGGTACGTAAGACAACAATTAACAAATTGGTTGAAGTGGTTGGGGGTGTGTAAGGGAGGGGGCGGCAGATGTAAGGCTTTATAATCAATTTGTGTTGCGGTTGTCTATGTTTACCATATAGTGTGCCCACCAATAAACCAATTGAATTACAGTGTTGTCACAACACTTAAAATAAACGTCAATCAAATAAAAAATCACTAACTTAGTAAGTTCAAATAGGTAAAAAAGGTACAATCTACTCTACATACATATTCTCTTAAGCTCTTATATATAGTACAATAATTTTTATGCAATTACAGGTAATATTGTGTGTTATCTCTATCTAATAAAAAAGTATATAAACCCCAATGAACATTGTTGTTTCAATTAATAAACACACGTTCTCAAACACATACACGCATATATAAAATAAACTCGAGTTAATCTCTCTGTTTGTAACTTATGTTTATGAATATTCTTGCGATCATAAATCATACGAGAATTTAATTGAAAACATACATTATATTCGCGATTCTTGTGTTGAAAGTGAAAATTCTAGCTTAATATAATAATCACATATAATAGTAATGTCAACGTACATAATGTTAAGCGTATTGATTACCATCACGTTTCGGCTGTGTCTCGTGTTTACCACATTTGATTTGCTGCTTCAAACCCGAGCGGTTCCGTTGCCGCTGGTCAACGTAGACGACACTAACTCTTTGGATGATTCCGGGGCCGATGTCAACGGTATGGCCGCTGAGGCCGCAGCCGTGGCCGCCGGTGTCGACGAGCCCGCGGCCAATGCGGTGGCGCAGCCTGTGGTACAGCCACTGCCCGATCCGCCCAAATGGTACAATCACTGTAAGATTGGTCCGCAATCGTCGCAACGGGCCGTCAATGCGTTGGTCAACGAATTACAGACCACTCCCGATGTGAGGGACCGACACATCAAACAGTTGTTTGACAAAGTGGTCAAATCGGCCGCAATGGCCACTAAAAGGGCCGAAGACATCAAGAGACAATTCGTGAGTATTTCTTTTACCATGTATTATATTTGAGCACTTTTTTGTTTGCTTGTAAGCAGCGATCATTGATTGAGTATATGTTTAGTTTGTTTGAGTAAAATTTTTTATGTTTTTTAAAGCATAGTATTTCACAGAATTTAACCAGAATTTTAGTTAGCTAGGTAGTTTTTGTGTGTGGGGGTGTAGCTCAGTGGTAGAGCGTTCGCTTTGCATGTGAAAGGCCCCGGGTTCGATCCCCGGCACCTCCACAATTTTTGAATAATTTTCATTTAAATTTTGTTGGATTTAGTAATATATTTTTGCATCATGCCCAATATCAATATCTCAAACAAGCCGTTTGAGTATAGATCTAAACCCCATTTAAAATCATTATAAACTTAGCCTTAAAATGACTTTTATTTGCTTTAACTATAGATTCATTCTTAAAATTAAATTGTCCTATATTATAATTTATAAATAACTATAATATAGGCTGCCATGATTACTCAAGCTCAAATTTCAACATAGATCACACTCATACATTTTAATATAGGATTAGTAGAGCACCTTGGGCAAATCAGGTGATAATTCAGGCAATGAAGTGTTAAGCAATTATATGCCAAATGAAGGCCAAAATGTATTAGACATTGGATTTAGCGATAGATAACGAGTGGAAAAAGTGATTTCCAGTACAGAATATTCCCTAAAAACACGCGATAAAATATATACAAAAAACAATGATCTAAATATAGCTAGATTATCAAACTAACACAGTGCAAAAAATTATTAGTAATTTGTACTAGTTTAATACTAATGTTATCCTGGTTCGTTTACTCTATATAGAATGATCTAGAGCACATCTTCAAAGACTTTGAAGGCCTGCAATTCAAACCCACGTTTGAATGGTTACCGAAAATACCTCCGGTTTCTCAAGAGGTATTCACTGATATGACGGTAAGAGTCACTTAAAAACACAGACAAATCGTTAATTAAACAATTATTATAGCAATTATGATGTGATTATCGCATAACAATATCGCTTTACAATACAATTGTATCAATCACTTAGTAATTGCTGTTTTAAATCCTGTTTTATTAATGTTTTCATAACATAATCGGTGTTTTCGTTTGTAATGATCGATGTCATACCTATTGGACTGAAGCACTGATTTATATAACTTATATCATGTTATTATACACACACAGAGAGAGATAGCACTGTTGAAAGCGCACCGTTATGTGGAGAGCTTCGCGGTGGCCATCGAGCAGATACTCGTGGATCAGGATCTGTACGCCGGATACGAGGGTTTAGATCGCCAGGAGTTCAAGAATATCGCCGACGATAACTATAGCATACTCTGCGAGATCAGGACAGCCATGTCTCTGGTGTTCGGGTCGGTTGACGAACACTTTCTGACCAACACTGGCCGCGAGATTATGGCCGACGAGTTCCGCGACATCCAAGAGATGTCCAAACGTATGCTCAGAGACTATCTCATACTCAGACAGTACGTACAGACAGCCGATTATATCAACAAATTGTTCGCTTATGTCAAGCAAAAGTTTTAAAGTTTTTTTTGTTTTTTGTTATACACGACTAATGTTAGTGTTTTTGGCACAAAAATACTTTAAAACTACGATTTTTAAAATTGTTAATCACTTTAAGATAATCTCAATTCTCATATAATTTATTTCAATCATTGATTTTATTTGTTTCGCTATTAGAGAGAGAGAGAGAGAGAGAGAGAGAGAGAGAGAGAGACCCAATTGAGTGTTATGATAGTTGTTAAAAAAGCACTTGACTTTCAATGATGTTTTTACTCAAAAGTTTTATAAAGTGTTAATTTTTTGTAGTATTTATTATTATTATTATAATTGTTGTTAATAATCCTATAATTTATCATGTATCATTTCAACTAACTTATATTTTTCATGACATTTAACACTGAAAAGCAAGCATTTATTTTCTTACATTATATTTATTTCATATTTTAGTATTTATTGATTTATTTCAACAGAATTTTCGTATTTATTTTACTTTAAAAATTTTTCTCTATTATACAAAAATATCTGTCATTTTCACCACTATTTATTCTGTTATCACCTTTTTATTTATGTATTTATTTAATTCAATTGTAATTTTACTAATGCTTTAATAAAAAACAAATCAAACCTATAATTATTTAATTCAATTGAAAACCACTGCAAAAGCGTATAAATAAATTCACTGAACAAACGGACAGACAATCAGTTAATATCAATATAAAAAATCTTTATTTAAATTGTAAAATACAAAAAACAATTTCCGATTAAATATATAATACGTTTAATGATTAGTACAAAAATTATATTATCATAAAAACCAAGTGTGAAACTCTTGAGCCAAAAATAGACGGCAGAAAAATCAATGATAATATCAATGATTAAATCAAATCATACCACACTTTCACAGGGCATGTGAACCATCAGGACATTGAACAGGACATCAGTAAACGCTATAATCATAATAATAAGTAATCATATCTGTGTATAAACTTTGTATTTGTTGTGTTTTTTGTATTCACTAATTGTAGCACTAATTAAAATAATTATATAATAAAACACATACAAAAAAAAGACTTCAATTTTAATCAATTAACTAATCATATCTGATGTACAAAAAGGCCGAAATTACTTTATCGAGTGATTAAATTATCACTCAATAAGTGAGAGAGAAAAACAAGTTAATGAAATCAATAGTTAATAGTCTATTAATAAACGCTATTATCATTTCTCTCGACTCCCGGATCCACCGCTTTGTTTGGCGGCCTTATCGGCGTCCAAACCGGCCTTATTATTGGCGGCGACCACTCGCGGGCCGAACCCTCCATCCAAGCCGTCGGACGCTCTCTCGTAAAACATCTGCGGAATGTCTGTCCCGAAGTAGATCTTCGTGTTCTGCGACACCGACTCGTACTTCTTGAGCTGCAGATACTCTTTGGTGAGCAACAAGTGGTTCCCTTCGG